ATATATATATATATATCCCATGAAAAAAAAGTAAAACTTTCATCAGAAAATGTAAACTTTAATACAGTACAAAATTTATAGGTATTCAGCAAAGAAAAGATTCGAAAAAAAAAAACGACATTTTAAACGACGACCATTTATGTGGGTAAAGAGAACGCAGATTTTTTTTTAACCCGTAAATAAGCAAAAAAAAACACTTTTTTTTAAACTTTATTATTCAAATGTACATCGCACAACGTAAATAAAAAATGAAGTTTTTTTTTTTTTTACACATTTTTGATGAAGTTACATGCAATTTTTTTTTTTTTCGTTTGTTTGTTTGTTTGTTTTCAATTTGAAACAGTTGAAGAATCAAACAGCAAAAGAAGTTGTTCAGATTCAATAAACAACAAACAAATTAGCTGATACCAACCAACATCCGCCGTCATCACCGTCCGTCATCACCGTTCGGGGCTCGTTTTTGGTCTATGGATATTCACTGCATTTCAAATCATCATTTTTTAAAAAGCACACACACACACACATAAAAATACAGCTTAAGTTTCTTTTTTTTTTTACTTAGCACCAATATTCAAAAAAAAATTTATTACAATGAACAAAAAAACACATTCATAAATTATAGCTTTCTTTTTTTTTTTTCTTTTTTTTGCCACCTCTTCTTAGTTATAACTCATCAAATATGGTTTCTTTTCTTCTTCTTCTTCTTCTTCTTTTTCCTTTCGTTTCTTCACAAAAATTGCTTAAAACTTTTGTTACGCCTTTTTCATCAACAGTAATTTTTTTTTTTCCCGTTTTGCACTCTGTGTACTCTTTGATGACATTCAGAAGAAAAAAAAGAAAAGAAAAGAACATTGTCAAAAAAAAAAAAAGCAAATAAAGTCTACAAAAAAAATAAACCTTTTTCTTTTTCGGAATTCATAGTACAAAAAATTCTATATTTACTCATCGTAGAGATCCAAGTTATAAAATGTCAACAAAAAGCAACAATATTTAAACATTGAAATAAAAGAAGGGGAAAAAAAATTGAAAAATGAAAAAGATGAAAAAAGACTTAAACACGAGAAGATGGAGCAATAGTTTAGGCTTCTCAACAGTATTTACTGTTCTTTCAGTTTTTTTTTGCCCCATCCCTACTGTATTTTCTTCTTTTGACCCTGTGATAGTGAATGGTTTAAAAAATATCGATATGCCAAACAAATACATGTCCAGGTGGAATAAAGCAGTATACCAATCCAATGTCCACCACTCCAATCATTACCATAGGCGTACTGTGACCAAATTTGTGCCAACAATATGGTTACACAAATCTATAAAAAAAGCAAAGCAAAACAATACTAATAAGGAAGTAAAACAGTTGATGGTTTTTTTTTTTTATTGAAGGAAGCAAATAAAAAAATGGTCTCATCAAATATGTCAATGAAAATATTCACTTTTTTTTTTTTCTTCTTTTAGAGACTGACTAAATAACTGAAGAAAAGAATCTGAATGCTTTGATTTTTTTGCTCAAAAAAAATTTGAACAACATACAATTGATCTGGTATCTACAGCAATTTTATGATGCTCCTTGTTCTCCCAGTGTAACGCATGACTGCTTACAATGTAACAGGACATAAAGTATGCGCCCATTAACCGTCCACATATTTCATGTGTTTCATTCAATACAATTTTGACCTTCAAATTCAATTTCTTCTTCTTCTTTTTTTCTCCTTTTATGGTTACACAAAAATAGATAATATTAATAATAGCATTACAAAAAATAAAAAAAAAAACATAAAATTTAAGCCATCAATAGGAATATAAGTATCTACTGACAGCATAAAAAATTATGACCAAAAAAAAAAAAAAACAGTCCTTAAATCCTTTTAAAATTTGCTGAAATAGATGAAGTGATTCAAATTGGGAAAAATAAAAAATGAGATTTTTTTTCTAGATTTAATTTAGAGACAAAAAAAAGAACAGTTAACATTTTAATGTATCCATAAAACTTTACACCCAAAAAAACCACTTTCTTTCTCCAACAATTTTACCATTGATCACACTTAAATTTTCACCAGAAAAAATAGATGCCAACAACTGCTTCTATATAAAAAATGTTATCAATTAACACAAAAAAAAAACTCGAAAAAACTAAAATTAACCTGCCGATATAATAACCATTTTGGAAATGCAAAAAATGCTCCACCAATGACAATTGATGCCATAGAATCCAACTGATACAGGCAACTTTCCATTTTGTTCGCCTTTGTTTGGGTACTACCGATTACCCATCCAGAAAATGTTTGCATACTTCCATAAACAGCAATTACCATATAACACCAAAACTTCATCATTGTTATAAACTGTAAAAAAAATCCAAAACAGAATGATTA